ACTATGCGAAAATAATACTAATTTACTTGATAAAGTTGAAATATCACGAGAAGATAATTTAAATGGCAATGGACCTTTTACCCAACTTCTTAATAGTTTTCTAACCACACCTAAGCAAATGAGGTGCATGTAGTCAAGAGGAACCGAAGAAATCATCAAAATTTTAAGCTCCGTAAACGGGGAAATGCCTACATGGTGGTGTTTATCTTTTTTAACATAAAAATCTTGATCTGTCCTAAGTGGACTATCGAATGTTCTGAAAATTACACGTCCCTTCCAGAAACCTGGATCTATACATTTCTCGCATCCATTGTATGCATTATGACTTTTACATTGCTTTAAAAAACTCCTGGCTGGCGCATCAGCTATTATTTTTGAAACCTTACAAAATATTTTCAAATTATTGTAACTAATCCCAACTCGCAAACTTTTTAACTCTGCTATCAAATCCATCAAGTATTCGTCAATACTTTCTGGTTTTGTCTTGCCATAAAATAAACCCACGACAAATACGAAATCTAAATGCTTGATAAAAGTTAAATATGCGTAGAAGATCGTTTAAAGCTACTCCCGTTATGTTATGTCGAAGCGACCAGTCCCTCACGTCCCGTGTTAAATCTAAAATATTCCTATTATTTTCTACTACACCATTGTCGCTTAGTGAATCGGAAACTAATGGCTCGTCACTATTATGGATAACATTACTGCTTCTATCATTATTGCTAATATTACTACCTGAATCGCTATCCTCAACGCTATCGCTATCCTCAACGCTATCCTTAAACTACTTAATAAAGCTACTGCAGTAGCTTTATTAAGTAGTTTAAGCTAATTTACGCGAAGACGTTGTCCGTCTGTATGTCTGTCAGCAGGATAACTTGATGAGTATTTTTCAAATCTGCTTTTCGGGTATCGACATCGAATTTTAGTGGGTAGGGAGAGTTCGGAGATTCAACGGCAGGGTGTGGAGGCAAAATGAGATTGTTAGTGAAATTGAAGATGAAATGCTGTGCTCCCGCGCGGTCGGGTAGGTGATCGGGGTGATGGGAGACTTCTGAAGCTACTTCCATATTTGTGTTACGATGGTTTAGTTAAGGTCTAGGAAAACACGCTCCCTCAAACACTTATGTACAATTAATACCAAGATGGTAAGTATGTGCACTGTTAAAAATCTGGTAATCTTAATTTCTTACCATATTTGTAGTAGTGTGTTGCTAATAAATGGTAAATTTTTCATTACCGCAACATTACTGAAAGGTAAATCCCGTTATAACAGTACCGGTAGAGGCATTCTTGTATACCTAAATATGCACTCCTGACAGTAACAATTTAACACCATTTTCTAAGAGTGTACGTGCATGTCTTAATCAGCATAAATGCATCAAGTTTATAAACATAAATACCGTAAAAACTCAAATAGTAGCCGTTGCTCAAGCAGAAGCTGTGCTCAAATATGTACTATCATAGTCGCGTGTCAATGATATCTTTGTCCAAATAGTAGCCGGGTCTCAGCCACCGATTTTGTAAATACCTAACAATGAGGAGGTGTGAGGTGGTTATCGCAGATATCCACCGGACTAATTTTTAATTGTTCAGGCTCAAAAATAAGTGGACCTGTATTTTTTGTTTTCCTAAATGGGCATGTTTACGCCCTTGGCGGAATTTTCAAAAAAAAATCACCCAAATTTCGGGTTTTTAAAAACGCTGTAATTTTTCGAATTTTAACCCGATTTCTAAAAATAAACCCAATATGTATTCAGAATTACATCCCTGAAAATATAAAAATGAATTTTTAAAAAATTAAAAAATTGATATTTTCATTCTATTTCTGAATTTTTAGAAACCCAAAAAACGGTAATTTTTTGAAAAATAAAAGTTTTTTAAAAATGAATTTTTGAAAATTTTTGAAATTGAATTTTTATATTTTCAGGGATGTAATTCTGAACACAAATTGGGTTTATTTTTTGAAATCGGGTTAAAATTCGAAAAGTTACAGCGTTTTTAAACTCCGAATTTTGGCTGATTTTTTTTTGAAAATTCCGCCAAGGGCGTAAACATGCCCATTCAGGAAAACGAAAAAATACGGGTCCACTTATTTTTGAACCTGAATAATTTAAAATTAGTCCGGTGGATATCTGCGATAACCACCTCACACCGTCGCATTGTAAGTAGTAGCCTTAGGGTAGTATTGATGGGTTACTTTCCACCGAATTGAGCTGAGCTTGTGCTGTTACTAAGAATCAACACAGTTCGTGTTCAGTTTACGTATGAATAATTTATGAAAGATAGGATTAGTTGATGAAAAGGCAGTACGACATAAAGATTGTCAAGTACTTAAATGATAAAGAAGAACGATGTACATTTATATATATACATATGCAAATATAATGAAAAGTAGCTTTCCAAACGGGCTAAAACAGAAATGCTAATTTTTGTAACGATCGAAATCCAGAGTTTTCATGAATTTTTTCAACCAACTAACCTTTTCTTACGGGCTTTGACCAAATTTATGTAACTCTGGGCAGGGTGTGATAGTCGACGGGCTGGAGATTCAGGGAGGTAGACTTGGCCATAAGAAAAGCATTGCGTAGGATTTATGAGTCATGTAACACGGGGCGCCCATGGATGTAGACAATTTACTTTAATGTATAACAAAGGCTTAATTTTTTTAATAAGAGACCTTTTAGATGCAAAGCTTAAGGTTATTTGCACAAATTTTTTGCGCAAATTTATTTTAAGTTATGTATAACAATTTTTTGCAACAATTTATTTGCAATTATGCATTAACATAAATTTATTGTATTAATTTATTTACAATTATTTGCACAAGTTTTTGTGTACTAATTTAATTTATTATTTTAATTTGATTATTAGCTCACCCCGCATAGCATGAGAGCTATTGAATTCCTCTTGTCCGTCTGTCTGTCTGTCCGTCTGTCTGTCTGTGTCTAATTAATAAGTCCCAAAACCATTTGAACCCAAATTAGTAGCACAATTGCTATGCAATAATCTATGTCAAAATTGGCTAACAATTTTGTCCGCTTATTTTCCACCATTGCTGCATAATTCTATTAAAATTACATATCTAGGTTGTCTATTTTGTATGATACTGTATGATACCATATAAGTCCCACGGCCATTTTAACCCTAATTTGTAGCACAATTGGTATCAAACAATTGTTAACGCAAAATGGTGCGAAATAATTGGAGGAATCGATGTATTCTGCACCAATGGTTACGATTAACTGAAAGTTTTAGTTAGCCTTGGCTGACATGCCTTAACCTTGAAATCGTGTCAAAATTTAGTCCCAATTTTAACCATTTCGGCTGCACCATTGGTGCAACATTATATCAAATTTCTGTTATCCCCCGCTTATTCTGTACCATTGCACACTGGTCCGGATTGATTTATTTGTTTGCCAAAACCTCTTGCTCTCGAACCATTCCATTTTATCGAATTCTGCCTTCGGGAATTGAGATATCAAATTCCAAGGGGCATAAATAAAGCAACTTTAATTGACCACCACCCCCTCTTGGGGGTGTGGTCACAGGTCAATATTTATTTTCTCGCATTACCCCATCAAGTGGGGTCTCATTTGAAAGGTCTAATCAAGCTCTAACCAACTATGACCATTATTGGGACATTATCGGCCCACCCACTGCCAGGGGGTGTGGTCAAAATACAAAATTGAAAGTTTTGTTTCGATAATTTTGAGGATGTATTTTCATTAAATGACAATATTCTGTAGTTTTATTAAGTATTTCTGCCCTCCAAATTAATTAACAAAGAAAATAGGACCAAAATTGTAAATTTAGTTATGCCTCTTCAGGAGGTCACCACTTCATAAAATTTTCCCGCTCGTAATAAATTTTTTAGAGGGGTTTGTTTTATCATATTTCCTTCCCCAAGGAACTTGGCAAGATATTTTGAAGCGATTGTGTTATTTGGAACACTCGAAAATTTCATACGTGACAATGATTGGAGCACTCCAGCTATTTTGCTTATGGTAATTTGCAATTACATAGATTCAAATCTCTCTGGTTATTTGTAATGGTGGCAGCTGGTGGCAGCAGTTTTTGTAGATGAGATATGGGGGAGTGTAGCTTAATTTCGCTCTTGCCCGAGGTAATTCCTTCACAATTTTGATAAAGATTCACAAATTACATTTAAACAATACACTGTAAATAATCTGATAATAAACCTTGCCGAAAAGCACAAGTATATGACTCTACTAACAATGCGATGACGCCAGCGGTCTCGCTCCGATTTTGACGAAACGACGATAATTATGTAGCCTTAGATAAATAATTAGACACGTGTTTCAGGATTTTTCATAATGCTCAGGTTAAACGAAATTATGACGAAATCCGTGAGCGAGAATTCCCATTTTCACGGTGACATTTTTCTCGCAAGGGAGAAAAATACAGATTCTCCATTACAAATTCCATCATAATTTCGTTTAAACTGAAAATTTGTTGGCACGAAGTGGTTTTATGCGATTTTCGTTTGTTGCATTTTTCAAAAATTTCAAAAATTTTCAAAATTTTCAGAAATTTTCAAAAATTTTCAAAATTTTCAAAATTTTCAAAAATGTTCAAAGTTTCAAAATTTGTACAAGCAATATAAAATCGGAAAAAAACATTTCATGGCCACGCATTTTAAGCTTAAACGAAATTATGATGGAATTTGTAATGGAGAATCTGAATTTTTCTCCCTTGCGAGAAAAATGTCACCGTGAAAATGGGAATTCTCGCTCACGGATTTCGTCATAATTTCGTTTAACCTGAGCATTATGAAAAATCCTGAAACACGTGTCTAATTATTTATCTAAGGCTACATAATTATCGTCGTTTCGTCAAAATCGGAGCGAGACCGCTGGCGTCATCGCATTGTAAGTGGTAATGATAAGTTGTACCGGGTGGTAATGGCCTTATAATAAAGTTTTACCTTCATGGCAATGAATTTTTACTACCTGGTAAAGTATTATTACCAAATTTATTACCGAGAAATCATTACCTACCTGATTTTACCGGATTATTATTAAAATTGCAGATAATACACAAAATTATGGAATTTCTGCCCACTCCTGACTTGGAGACGATCTCTCTCGTCAACTCTGCGTGTGAGGAGGAAGCTCTAAGACATCTCCTGATGCGAAATCCGGTTAATGTCCACCTCTGCCACGTCACCGATTACAGAGACCTTGACCCCCTTAAGAACCTGTCCCCTAAACACCTCAACGTAATCGTGTGTCCATATAGGGGGAATTTATTGTCAAAAATAGACCTATTTACTGCCATTGGTTTCCCCACTGTGAAAAAATTATGTCTCAATATATCCCTCGATAACGCCTTCCGCCACGTGGCTTTTCGCATGGTCAAGACTTGCGAATCTTTCAAAAATTTGACATCTCTCGAATTTCAATTCGGCTTGAGAAATCGAAAGGAATTATTTTCCTCGAATCAAAATTGGGCTGATCTACTGCCCGACGACGCCCAGATCCCCGAAAAACTGACCAATTTATCCCTCAACGTATCCCAACCTCATCTCGGTCTGAGGCCCGGCCGATTGGAAAACATGGTCTCGCTAACCACCCGGTTTCTAACGGTGTTCAGGCACGTGCAGCAGGTCCAGTTTAAGGACATACCTATTAGCCTGATCCTGATAGAAAGCGGTCTCACTTTGCTCTACCTCAAGTCAATCTATGTCCCAAGAACGTTCCTTGATATTCTTAACTTTAAGGCCCCGCTCCCTTCATTTTTGGGTAACGTGACCCGATTCCAGTTTAACGCTGAAGAATCAACCTATTTAGGCGACCTGTTGCACCTTCTCGCACCACGGTTGGAACACGTGTGCATTTCCGGGGTGAAAGAAACTTCCCCATCTCTTGGGGCCAGAGTTAGCATCACCATTCCGGTTCTCCCGAGGTTAAAAGGTTTCGAAATTTTGAGACAACGAAGTTTCCGACCTGATCTAGAACGGTATTGGTCTCGAAGTAATCTCTACTTAAAATTTGAAACGGGGCGGGATAAGATTAAACTCGTGTACAGGGAGCAGTTCCCTGTCTTGGAGAAGTTAAGGGTGCGCCTGGTGCCGGAACGGGTGAAACCGGGTAGTTTCAATTTGCACTTTAAGGCTACCATGCTCTTCATGTATGAGACTTTTTTAGCCGAAGGTGTCGCACCGTGTGTGACGGTTACAAACTTGAATATTTCGATTCCCCCGGAGGATTCGGATGTGGGGGGGATGAAGATGAAGAAACGGTGGTTGGATTGGTACCGGTGGAAGGAGGGGATTACAGATTTGTGTGGTAAAATTTCCACCATTTTTCCCAAAGTGGATTACCACGTGGTCGAGAGGGGGAAGGAGGCCGGGAGAATGGCGAGTGTCAAGAAGTTTGGGTAGAGTGGGGGTAACTTTTGGGGGAGGTATTTATCATAATTTTTTGTGGGTTGAAAACGAAATGAAGTAGAACTGTGGGTGAATTTTGTGTGTATTGCAAATTTGGTGAATGCGAAATTTGACGTTGATCGAAAATTAGTTATTAAATACATAGCTGAGATTGAAATGATTGACACTTTTATATTAATATGCGTGGACAATAATCTAAATATTTTAGGGTGACCTATAAAATTGCCGTGTAAAATTATTTTCTAAATGTCATGTTCGTTATGGGGCGATATAAATATACATATGTCGAGGGGGGTGGAAATATGAATTTGTACCAACTAGATATTGTGCGTTTTTTATTTAAAGCCCCCATGTTTGCCTCGCGCGAATAATATTCCCAGTTGATTAACACGGGAAGCGGACTGAGACGATGGTAGAAAAACGGGTCAGCTTATGTATAATGCACAATGGTAAGTATTCACTGGAGTATAATAAAACAGGCAGATTTCGTGCAGTGAAAAATACTCACACCTTGTAATTTAGGTTTGTGATTTCAGTAGGCAGCTCACCTTTAAGTTTTTCTTAGTAAACAGTAAATTGTGAATTTAACTTGTCTAACAGTACGGTTTACTGAACTTTGAAAAAGTATGTTTAATGTTAACGAAACGTCTCTTTTGTTTAGAATTCGTGTCAGGCAGGATCATTTATATTTAATGGGACAAATATTATAAAACCATATTCAAATGGATACTTCGTATGTGATTCGTTTATTAAGTAGCTTCAGCTACTTTATGCGAAGACTTTGTCCGTCTGTCTGTCTGTCTGTCCGTCTGTCTGTCTGTCTGTCAGCAGGATAACGGGAGACCGGATCGAGATAATCGAAATCGGTTTTCGCCATCGTGCATATGACCCCAGGGGGCGGATCCTATCAACTTTTGGGGTCAAGCGGACCACCCCTACCGGCGGCAGGGGGTGTGGTCGGGGCAAAATGAGATTTTCACTGAAATTGAATTTATAGATAAAATTAAGTGAAATTGAGTGTTTTCGCAATGTCGTGGAAGTGATTCGTAAGAAGTAGTCTGAAGCTACTTCCTTATGTGCGTTTACGACGGTTTATTAGCAAATTGAGTTAGCCAGAGGAAAAGGAGGGTTAATCATAAGCTTTGGAATTATGCACTGATAACGACAAAGCTAGAAAGAGTTGCGTCAGCCGATTTTACAGATTATATTAATACCTGGTTTTCCAAGTGTAGAGAAAGACTGGGCTCAATTATTTGAATGCTCACCAGACAATAGATAATAGTGGGTCGCTATTATTGCAACAGCTTGTCTGTCACTGATGGCGAATGAAACAGAGGCCAGGTTGTCATTTTGCTTCAAATCGACCCAGTTTAAGCTTTTTATTAGATTCCCAAGATCATAAGTTAATTTGTGTATTTTGGTATGCGTTTCTACGCGAATGTGCACAGTTTAGGCCCAGTTTATGTACTACTTTATCATGTATCGCAAATTTATGTACCTTTTTATTCCCTTGATTGTAAGGTGTAAGTCAAAACTCGTACGCTTCTCTTTTTATCGGCAACCTCATTAATCCCGATTATTTTAAAATTTAACCTTTCCAAAGAATTGAGGTACATGGCGATTGCCCCCAAAATATTATCGGGGTGAAGCACTCTATGCGAGGAATCCGGACCTTGAACACGAAATAGTTTTACTTAAAATTTGTCTGAATATGCTTATTCCAAAAAGTCATGAATTTGACTAGATATGTACCAGCTGCAGGCTGAATTGCAATGTTATCCGTCACTCCTTTGGGCATTGTCCTAGGCACCCAAATCATCTCTTGACGTGGATAGACATTGGATTTAGGCTGATAAGTGACACTAAGATAATTCAAGGCAGGATCTTGGTTATGTATATTTCCGAATTCTGGGTGTGACGTAACAAAAAGTGCACTTGTTTCTTCAACTAATCCATATATTTGCATGTTCCAGTGATAATCGGTTGGTTGACCGATTAATGTTATTGAACACCTGTTAAAAATCGATTTTGTTTTTTTACTAAATACACTCTAAATAATGTTACCCGATTTGAAAAAGTGAATTTACTCTGAGTTCTGTACTAACAATCAATGTCTCGCAACGTATCCTCCCCAAGTTTGATTAAACTGGTACCAATTAATCACAAATTTAATAAATAAAAAAATTTGAAATTGCACTATTTATCTGCCAATGGTCAAGCTTCGGGCGAAGATATTTGCATTCGAAGGGGAGAAAATGCGCAGAGAATTTGGAGAATGTAAAATTAGTAAATTTTAGGACGTTTTTATCAAGTAAGCATGAACAATAGTAGATCGTACTTTCAAAAAATTTAATACAAATTAAATCGATGGTCGATTGATGCTTATTTTGTCAAAATCTGTGAGAAAACGTTGGTAGTTTTGCGAACAAAACTAAATCCAGGGTGACGTAGATTTTGTGAAGAGTAAAATTTACTCTTGATTTAGTAAAGTTTACTTAAATTGGAATCCACAGTGTATTAATTTTGTTTTTCAAAAGGGTAACACTATTTAGAAGAGTGTGTTACGAATTAGCCTTTAGGAATATAGTCGTAAATACCCGTAAATAATAATGGCTTACTTCAAAATACAAGTCGGCATTGTGACGCAAAAAATGAGAGAAATAAGTATGTCGAATGTCTCGAAACAAGGCAGTAACTCGAACTGAGAAGTGAGACGAGTTGTGTCGAGACCTTATCACTAATGGACATAAGGATTTGTGATATCGTCCAAATAGGGTAATCCACTTATCTTCCTGTACTTATGTACCTGTCAAATCGCTTACAATGCGAAGGTTTGAAGTGTAACTCTACGATTTTGTTAAAATTTTGGAATTGCGTAGGTGAAATCGGTTCAATAAAATTCGTGGGATGCGCGAAGGTCAGAATTTTGCAAAATCCTTTGACCTAAAGTTGGAAAATTGCCGATGTTTGGGCAGATTTCCATAATTGACTACAATTGGAGTTTGGCCGGATAAAAGTCGCCCATTTTTTAACTCGTTTATCTGAAATATTTTGACAAATTGTACGAGAAGCCGGAGGAAACTTTGGCTACTTATATCAACTTCATACTATCTGCCGATGCGCAGGTTTGGCAAAGATATTTGCATCCAAGGCCGGAAAAATGCGCAGCGGAAAATGAAAAATTTGCCAGCCTTTGGGGTGCGTTTTCTCCTCTGTTTATGCAAAAATCTCCGCTAACTTGAGCATTGGCAGATAGTGTCATTTGCATATTCCATACTAATTATATTTGTGATCGATTGAAACTAGTTTGGTCCAAATCTGTGAGCATACGTTGGGAGACCTCCATTCTTAGCAAAAATTTACAATTTTCAAACATTATATATTTATTCATTCGAAAAATAAGGTATGCAATCTGATGCGTGTGCGTAACTGTTTTTTTAAATCTCATCCAACAAGTTACAGGGAAACGGAACCCACTTGTCGCAGGATTTAGCGAGTGTCGATTCCCCGGTACCCAATTCGACAAAAGTTACGATTCCCCGGAACCCAACATTTTTCTTCCATTTTTCATAAATTGGATAAAAATCTGAAGAAAATTTGAATTATCTCAAATTAACCTCCCACAGATGAAGATCATTGGATAAAAAAATTAGAATTTTTCATAGTTGCAAAGGTCCCTAAAATCACAAATATCTGACAAATTTGAGGAGCGGCAAGCTCAAAAAGGTACGGGGAATCGTCACCCAATAATTATTTTTAGGGAAAAATACAAATATTTTACAATTATTTTTGCAATTATTACGTTATTATTATGTTACAATTATTTTTCCTTAAAAATAATTGTATTTTTCCCAAAAAATAATTTTTGGGTGACGATTCCCCGTACCTTTTTGAGCTTGCTGCTCCTCAAATTTGTCAGATATTTGTGATTTTAGGGACCTTTGCAACTATGAAAAATTTTAATTTTTTTATCCAATGATCTTCATCTGTGGGAGGTTAATTTGAGATAATTTAAATTTTCTTCAGATTTTTATCCAATTTATGAAAAATGAAAGAAAAATGTTGGGTTCCGGGGAATCGTAACTCTTGTCGAATAGGGTACCGGGGAATCGACACCCGCTAAATCCTGCGGCAAGTGGGTTCCGTTGCCCTGTAACTTGAATAAGTAAAAAGACCAGGGAATCGGAACTTTTGGGTGACGTTTCCCAGGTACTAAGTTCCAATTCCCCGGCACTTGAACCAGACTGACGGTGAACTTGGCTTGTTAACAAAAAATAACGGATTTGCTGATTTTCGATGAGTAATATAAAATTGTCTCGATCAAAATCTGCGATGAATACCACAAGCCCTGCATTTTTACTTCGTGACAGTATGCTTAGAAAAAGTATCCACCAAAATTGTTTTGATCAGGATACGCCACAGAGAAAAATGTTCCTTTTCTCAACCACAAATAAACCTTCAAACTTCAAGTTTTAACGTTTTTGACTTTTATCTTCGTAATTTGTTTCGGTACAATGTAAACACGAGATCATAATTTCATCTGCTCATGAGTGGATCTTTGAGCAAACAAAATCGTTGTTCTGTTGCAGTAAATAAAATCGTAGATTATGGTACAATTTCATCTGGTCAAGTTGATGTTGCTTTAAAAAATATTTAAATACATATTTTACTTCCACTTTGCCTCGAGAGTAATATTTGCAAAATTACTCAAACCGTCGAAATCGAGGGTACAAGCCAGTTTCGTTTACATATGTGAAATAAATTTTCCCCGGCAGCGTGCCGAAAAATTTGCAGCGGGCCGCGACAACGATTTTTCCCGGTGTAGCAGTACCGAAAATCGGGTCTGCATCTTTTGGGCGTACCATGGAATATCGGCGTCGTGGAGCTCTGACTCTGATCGGAATTTTCTTATACCCAGGGCCGGGCCTGACTCGCTTAGCCTCTGGTTTTTGGTGATTGCAATTCAATTGTTCGTCCTGCTACAAAATTTGGTATCGTGTCACATATCAATGGGACCCGTTACTACTGGTTTAGCGGCCAACAATTTTTGAACAAGGACTTTTCCGGAAACTCGATTTGTTTCTCAACCTCAAACCTGATTGAGGGAATATATTTATATGGGTGGAATTGTTATAAAGTTGGTAGTCCAAGGATTCAATACTAAATATGCGACTATTTTGACCTCGGTAAGTTTTTGTGAACAAAAAATTGTCTATGGTATATCTGATGGGGACACGTTTCAAAATTTTAAATAAATTTTGATTGATTGAGTTATTGAAACTAATCTTCCCTCGGACCATTTTTAAATGTACTTATTTATCTTGTATTGAATCAAATTTGGCAATTAATTTTGTTATCGGTAGCAAATAACTTGTAAATATTTGTGGAAATATAAGCATTCTCTCCTTAATTTTAAAATGTGCTACAGATGTGCACAATAAATTTGTTTTAAAAACTTTTCTGCAACTCATAAATTATTAGCAGTAACATATTTTTGATAAAAGTATTATAATATATCGGTTTACAGTATGTTTTTGGGAACAGTACAAATTAATAATATTCGATTTGCATAGAAGTTTTAAAAATAAATTTATTCTGATGCATAGCACACTTTAAAATTTAAGAAACGAATTAATTTAATTTCCATGTCCCCGCTAGGTGCTCCCACAAATTCTCCACTGTAGTCGTGACAACAACAAATGCTCCTTGTTTTTCCAAAATTGAAAGAATAGGTCCAAGCTCCAGATAAGCTTGATTAACATTGTCTATCACAACTACCCAACCATTTATTGAATTTTTTGTCATAAAATCTGCCACTTGTAAGACGAGTTGGCTCAACGGAATTGGAGTTTCGTTAATTGTTGTAGGAATTTCTAGGGATTTAGCTAAAGAGCGAACTGCTGGTGTCAGCGTCGTCTTGCTGTCTCCGTTCAACCATACTAACGATGGCGAAGAACTTTGTTTGCCCAAATATATCAGGAAATGCCGACATATTTCAGATATCTCTTGGTCATCATTTCCCGACATTACCGCAACGGCTCCCTTTGTACGGTGCTTCAGGTAAAGTTGATACATTTCTAGCACTTTAGCCTCATCGAATGAAGAGTTTGGCATGGTTAATCCGAAAATGAAACAGACCGAAGAGCGTGGTTGACTTGATTCGTTCTTTGATTCTGCCAGGCATGACAAATTGAATTAAGAATCTCATTGTTTCGTTTAACCAACTTTCATTTACTACTAATAATGCGATGATGTGAAGTGTAACGCTCCGATTTGGTGGAATTTCGAAATTATGTTGTCAATATAATCAAGGTTTCTTCAGGCAATAGTCAGAATTTGTCAAAATCTTTGAGGTTGAAGTTGAAAAATGGGCGATTTTTACCAGGTGGAAGAAGCAAACTCAACTTTCATCCTCTTTCCGTACTAAAAATATCATATTTTTCAACTTTGCCCTAAAATATTTTGGCAAATTCTTACCATCGCACAAACTGCCTGAGGTTATTGTGACATTAACCACATAATTTCGAAATTTCATCCAAATCGGAGGGTTACACTTCACACCATCGCATTGTAAGTGAAAAATAACAATACCTTATCTGCAATTACGATGAATCCATGTCGTGCCAAAATTTCTCTGAGTTTCCCCAAGCCACCAGAGAATTTCGAGAGGTTAGACAACTCTCCAAAATACGTTTTGGAGAATGCTGTTTTTCCTATGAAATTTTCCTCCATTCTCAATTTGTTTTTCACGGACGTTCGTTCAAACCTTGTTCTTTCTCCAGTATGACGCCCGTCATTGTAAAGATTCTTCACAATTCGAAACCCAACCAGAGGCGACGCAAGTCTCAAAAGCTTAAAATTCATTTTGGAAATAAATCCTGAGCAGTTTACTCAAAATGGATGCAATATGATATGAGGTGATGTCGACGTATGTATGTAGTGCGTAGTAGTGAACAGGCAAGTATTGAAGAAGTGAAGTAGGGCGAGGTTTTATCACCATTTCCATATCTTATCTCATCCATCACGGTGTCACAAACTTATTAAATTGGTTCGTGGACAGTTTTATGGTACTACAAGGTTGTCATGGATTTGTGCTGAAAGTGCAAAGAGAAGTGAAAGAGTGCAAATACAAGTGCTGAAATCGACAAATTAATAATGCTTTGTTAAATTGTAGTAGTTAGCACGCAGCGCACTTAACGAATACCGGAGGCACTTAAATGTTACAGATTACTAAAAGCTTACCACTGTGGATAATTGTTTAGTTTTATTTCGAGTCACCTTTATTTATTCATTTCGAGTCGTGGTTCCAGTGAAGGTTATTTTTCCGCAATATGCAAATAAAATATTCAAATTATATATTCAAATAAATATCAAATTCAAATAAATTCAAATAAAAACCATGACTTGTCTTGACTTCAAATTAAAAAAACATGTAACATGTTTTAGTTGTGAAAGTGGCTCCAGTGAAGTTATTTTTTACGTAATATATTTATTCAAATAAAACCCTTGATTTATCTAGACTTCAAATTAATATATTCGCTTTCACTTCCAATACAGCCGGAAATGAAAGCATGTTCCGTTGTACTTTGAGTTCTCAATTAACAATAATGGTAGAACAATTATAAAAGTGAAATTAAGGTGAATTTATCCAAAAAATATAAATAATAATAACTTCTTTTCTATAATTTATTGGAACACCCACATATAAAATAAACCCTCCAAACGAATATAAATAAGTTGCGTCAGAGCGATTCAAGTTTCCTTTGACGTTTCTCCGTATATGACATCGTCCTAACTGTCATGAGGGAAAAATATTAACGTCCTTGAAATCGCAGTCAAATCTCCTTTAAAATGACACCCCATATCAAAATTATGAATCTTTTGACCTTTGACCTCGTCCTAACTGTCATGAGGCAAAAATATTAACGTCTTCGAATTTGCGGTGGAATTTCCTTTAAAATGACACCCCATGTGAAAATTATGACTCTTTTGACCTCTAACCTCGTCGTCAAGGTTATAGGGTCAAAAATATTAATGTCGTTGAATTCATGGCGAAATTTCTTTTAAAATGATGATGATGATCCCAGACCCCAAAAAGTATATATATTCTTAATCCACTCGCCGAGACCTTTCCAACGATACCCCATTTATGGGGTGTTGTGAGCCTTCAAATTTTCATCAACAATTTTTCTAGGTTATTTTTCGAAATTTCGTTTTTCGAATTTCCATAAATGCTCGATTCGGGTTGTAGATAAAAAAATTGCGAATCTTTTAGCGCAAGTAGCATTTCGATATCTTTATCCATCATGGAGAAATCAGCTGCCCCGTTTCCAATTTTTACGACTTTGGGCCCCTCCCCCTGGAAAAAGGGGCGGAGTTGAACCAAAGTATTGGTACCTCTGCACTCACAAAAATCACCTCTATCAACTATGCAAATCTTAACAAAATCAAATTTTTTTGTGGTCCTCGAGATTCCGGTTTTCATTATTGCTACTCTTTTATTTACACTCTCAATAAATTTAAAGAATTTGTGAAGATTTGTGAAGAGTTTGTGAAGACTGTGTTTTGCGAGGTGTCAACTTCTTTACCGAATTATATTGCCAGGCCAAATTGAGTCACTTATTTATAAAAAAAACATTACCGTACGGTGATAATTCATTTTGATTTATTATATATTTTCTTTATAGTGAATTTATACATACTAAAATAACGGCTCTAATAAATATAACATGAGTGAGATAAGCTTTTCTGGTACATTTATCTGATTGAAATTATGTAATTATTGTAAATATCTAAATATCTACGTACATGATTTTTATAATGTTAGATATCGGTAAATTTTTTATGGTAATTTTGGGTCTGAATAGGCAAGCAAGATTCGTTTTATTAGGATGAACTGATTTTTACATGGATATTGAAATAATAATAAAAAGTCAAATGTCTTTATTTTTGGTAGATGCGATTCCCAAGTATTCTACAATGTCGTTCGCTTCAAGGACTGACGGATAATTTTGATAATTGAGGCGTTTCTCGAATTCAGAAATTTCAGGATAAGTTTTGGCACCCAAGCCACGACGTCTTCTTCTTTTTTTACGCACTGCGTTAATAATGAATACATATGTATAAATATATGTAGCTCTAACAAGGGAAACTCACAATAATCTATATTATAAGCTGGAAATGTTTGTCTGCAACGGAAGTGAAAGTGGACAAAGTTTCACTTCTTTTGCTAACAGACATTTCCAGCGAATTAAGTATATACAATATAGATACAAAAGAATAACGAGGTGGAATTATGAACAATCCCACTTAATTTTCACGAAAACCAAATTCGCTCTCGCACGAAAAAATGAATTTTTGAAAATTTTTGAAATTGAATTTTTATATTTTCAGGGATGTAATTCTGAACACAAATTGGGTTTAATTTTTTAAATCGGGCTAAAATTCGAAAATTTACAGCGTTTTTAAAAATCCGAATTTTGGCTGAAATTTTTTTTGAAAATTCCTCCACGGGCATAAACATCCCCATTCAGCAAAATGAAAAAATACGGGTCCACTTATTTTTGAGCGTGAACAATTTAAAATTAGTACGGTGGATATCGGCGATAACCACGTCACACCATCGCATTGTGAGTGAAATATGCAGCATACATTGCCACACCTTGTTCTCCCAACACAGCAACAGCATATATTTAACAGTGAACCTGTTGTACATACAACACGCTAAATAAAGTTGTGTACAACCGGTTGAGTAAAGTGGAATTGGTTAATTTTTCTACAACATTGGTACAAATTATTCCAACCTAAGACTAAAAACTAATCAACGGAGTTGTATAAATTGATCTTTACCCAACGTTGTAAATTTTGTAGTCATTACTTGTGAAAAATCGGTTTTCTACATGTATGACTAATTTTTACTCAATTATTGGTTAGTTTTTTTTACAAATAATTGCAACAAATAAACCAACGTAAAAGTTGAAAAACTCGCTACAATAAAGAATAAATTTTATACATAAGTTGAGGAAATTTTACTCAACACTTGTATCAAAATTAACAAACCAGTTGTGTGGTCTTGGATGACGCTTCCCGCGAGCACAAAAATTCTTCAGTTCTTCTTGCCACCTCGCCGCTCTAGTTAGGTGGAGATTTTTGTTCCTGCAAATTAGTTAAAAATTTCTAGAAATGACGAAATTTTTGGAATCAATTCTCCAGACAGTTGGACTGGAAGTATTATTGGAAACTTTTAAAGGTAAGATTATATATTTGGTGAAAAATATAGGTGTTGTACTATTTATGTCATCCGAACTATTAAAAAATCGTGCAATGCTTGGTCATTATTATAATTATTTATTTTTCCAATTTTAGATAATGATTTTGACGACGAACTTCTTCGTCAAATTCCCGACTGCCCTGCTGGTTCACTTGAGGAACATCTGTTTGCCACGCTGGTCCCGTCAATAGGAAACAGACTAAAAATAATTGGTGCAATTAGGAAGGTTAGTGTAGTTAAGGAAGAAAATGTGTATATATGTAGCTTGTGTCATCGTTCCTTAAATTCTTTCAAATCTTTTTGGAATCATATCAGGGATTTTCACGAGATAACAGGGCCTTCAGCCAGAATAGATTGTCCCTTGTGTTTAATGACCTTCACAAATATTAACAATCTTAGAAAACACGTGCAAGCCAAAATATGCCCAAAATTACTTTCACAATTTAGTTTTCCAAAAATAACAAATAACCTTAATGATGAGAATATTTTGTCTCAAGAAAGTTTTTTTAGTCATGATTATTCTGCCAAAATAATTAATGAAGTGACAAATGATTATAAATTGTCATTTATGAGGTCACTTCAAATGTCTGGATCAATTCCCCTAGTAAAATCTGGGGAAATTCTTTGTGCTGCAAATTCTTTGGTTAATAGCATTGTTGATATTGCTAAGACTTTCCTACAACCAAATCTTTCCCACGATGAAATTATTATCAAATTAAACTCTTTAAAGGAACCATTTCCGAAACAAACTTCATCTCAATATCAAATTGAAAAATATTTAGAGAAAACAAAAATATTTATAGAAGCACAGGAACTACGACTTGGTTCGCATTTCAAATTCGACAATTCAGTAGGAGCGATGCGTGAGAAATTTGACAATATGTACTACTTCCGGATATCTGATATTCTTCCCGTAGCCCTTAAAAAATATAGAGAGGTCACTGATGCCGGAGGACGTCTGAATCAGGATAAAAATATTATACGGGATTATCAGTCAGGGGAATTTGTCAGTAGTTTTACAGGAAATCCTCTTTTTATCCAAATTTACTATGACGATATTGAAATCTGCAATCCATTGGGTGCAAAAGCTAAAATCCACAAATTAGGAATGTTTTACTTCATAATTTCGAATTTTGCTCCTCATTTAAAGTCACAGCTTTCCGCAATATTCCCACTATTAATTGTTAAATCCAAATATATAAAATCATATGGGATGAATTCCATTCTTGCACCAATTGTAAATGAGCTTAATAAATTAAACAAAAGTATGCCTAAATCCGAGGAATTTGAAAACTCACCCTTTAGCAATGTCCAATTACTTCAAGTTTGTGGTGATAATCTAGCGCTTCATGCAATCCTTGGATTTTCTGAAAGTTTCAACGCCAATTTCCGTTGCCGTTTTTGCAAAGCAACCAAATCACAGAGCTACGTTGATGTGGAGGAGCGAAAAGAGTTGATTCGAAATAGATTGGGATACTCTGAAGATGTTGAGGTTCAAAACGTTAGTCTCACTGGCATAAAAGAACTATCCATAATTAATCAGATTGCTGGATTTCACGTTACTTCTAACTTTGCCCCCGATATTATGCACGACATATTTGAAGGAATTTGTATAATTGAATTAAAGCTGGTCCTCGAACATATTTTACAGAATAATTATTTTTCGCTAGTTGAAATTAATCATAGATTGTCATGTTGCTTGAAGAGAAATGGTCATCATTTAACAAAATTTCCCGAAATAGGCTCAAATATTATTGACGGCGACAAAAAGTCTTGTTTTTCTGCGTCAGAAATGAGTAATTTCTTTCTCGTCTTTCCTGCAGTTTTTGGTGACCGAATTCCATCCGACGATAAATATTGGAACTTAATACTTAAATTTCGGAGAATAATACGCATCGTGATGGCTCCAGTCATAACACGATCAAAATTATTACTTCTTCAGTTCTTAATAGCAGAGCATCATCAGATGTATATTGATTTAACGGGGAATAATTTAACTCCAAAATTTCATCACTTATTGCATTATCCAAACGCAATTAATCAGTTAGGCCCACTCAGAAATTACTGGTGTATGAGATTCGAAGCCAAGCACAGATTTGCTAAAACGGTTGGTAAAAACTCGTGCAACTTCAAGAATATTTCCAAAAGTGTCGCAAGGCGAATGTCCCTAAATATGGCGTTTTCACTTGGTTCCATTAACATTGAGCCAAAAGTTCAACTTAGTATTGGACCCGGCAATACATTTGACATTAGGGACATCAAAGATGATGTAGATTTTTCCACCATATCGTCAGCTCAGTGTAATAAAATATTTTGCCTTGATTTTGTTCAAATAAATGGTACAAAGATTTCTCCACTAAACTATTTTCTTATTGGAAGTTCTGAGTCGGGGCTGCAATTTTGTCAGGTGATTTTGTGTTTTGTTCATGATGAGAGTGTAAAATTAGCCGTTGCTCGTATTCAATATGTTGAAAAATTTCAATATTCATACATTTTCAAAGTAGGAAAAAAAGACAAGGCTGAAATACTTGACCCCTTACAACTTGACCTTCAAAATCCATTGGTAGTGGTAAGGTCGTTCGATGAGTGTGATTCGGTGGATAATATTTGTTGTCCTATTGAGTTAATTTAGTTATAAGCTTATAATAATAATTCCCTTCTTTATCGTGATGCTCTCAATAATTAATTATATAGCGAACCAATTCGAAATCTGTGACGTCCAGCGTGCAACAGATTTCCGACGGTGACCAGTCAAGCCAGGAGGATAATATTGTTCAGTACTTAGTGGTTCGTAAATTTGTTAACATAACTTTATTTGTTTGGTTAAGTGCTAACTGTTTAAAAATATTAATGACTTCTAGGTAACTCCGCCCACCGCTACGCCACCTCGCCAAGAGGAAAACATATTTGTGGATGAATTACAAAATATTCCGGTTTCTCCAGATTGCAACGTCGCGGATCCCTTATTTGTAAGTTTAGTTGTAAGATATAATCTATCCTTTTTAATGAAATTATTTCTGTCAAGCAGGACGTTAAGCGGATTATTCTTACATCTGACGCTGATAAAGGAACAACCAAAGGAAGGAAACTTTTAGATGATTGCGTTGAAACAAATGTGATCAACTTTGCCCTTAAAAATCTGATAAAACGACGGACCGTGAATCATCTTGTTAAGCAATACTCATATTAGTAATTAATACTTAATTATCATTCACAAAACTATGCGTTACCTTATATGTTGTACTAATTTTTGATTAATTTTAGCCCGCCTAAGTACGTGAAAGAAAATTTGGCCCAATGCATTGCAGTTCAATTGTTTCCTTCGCTCCCAGACTCTCAAAAATTGGATATAATTGTAAGAAAAATGTCAACACTTTAAAATATTTAAAATATTTTCCACTGAATTCAGATTTTTTGCTTCAATTTCAGAATTTATTCTACAGTGAGTCGAAGTTATCAAACTCCAAGAGAGAAGGCTCAGATGGAATTATTTACAGAAGAATTCCAGCATCCGGTTTGATTGAGGACAGATTGAAATATATTCGTCGAAAGAATGAAGTGAAGTGTCGAGTCCAACCGCCTAATGTGGAATCGTGCCAAGTTTTGGGTAGGCATATTATGCATGACAATTATTTAAAATTCCGGGAAAAATTACTAATTTTGTGAATTTATCAGATCCAACTGTAGACGAAGAGGAGAAAAAGTCTTGGCTTCTCAACTCTACCGTCCCCATATCTCAGGTCACTAAATACATGTCTGAGACCTACTGCTTGAGAACATCCCAATTCAGGAACACGAATAATTTAGCGGAAATGTTGGACCAATGGCCAAGGCTTCTCGACACTCCAGGAATGGTAACGTCACAACTTTCTAAGCGGACTAAATTTAAATTTGATAAAAACTTTATGCAAAGATTGAGCTGGACTTCAAGACTTTATTTCCTGGCAAATGTGATAAGATGCTTCTGAAGTGGGCAGCAGTTTCAGTACAAATCTGCAGTTACGCCGAGAAAATCAAAACCAACTTGGACGAAATCGGCATAAAAAAACCTTTGTCGAATTGGTCTAAAGGTTAGAAATTAATAATTAAGAAATATAAAGTTAATCATCTAATTTTAGTTGTGAATTTGAGATTTGTAAATGTTTTTAATATTGACTTATTTACACGAAGATGACAAGACGGTTGGGGCGCTTGTGTTACTGCCATATTTGACTGCTAGCTCAGCCTATTCAAAGAAATCCAAAAAGAGGAAGAAAATAACATCGGGAGAGTCAGCTGAATTTTTCATACAAGTTGTACCGGTTAGCTAATTTATTTTATTGATTTGTTAGGTAATAATAATTGGTAATTCAACGGTGTTATGTTTATTTAGGTAACACATGACATTGAAAATTTTAGGACAATTGAGTCAAGACGAAAACAACCCTTTGTTCTGTGTGTCGGAGAATTGGGATCCCTTATAATACATGACTCCTACGTTATGGTGGAGAGGAAACTTGTGAAAGCGTCGTCGCTAATTAATGCTGTGGATATCTGTTTCAAAATGTTTCATGTGCTTCAACTTCAATTCCCTGATGAATGTTACCCAGTCTGGTGCTTCTTCGATCACTCGATTTATCAAACTAAAGAAATTCGTTCACCCCCCTCGGCAGTTCTTTCACTTGGATCTCAAATAACTATAGATTAAGTTTATTAATATGCAACTACCTGACTTATAAATTAAGTACTAATCATGTTCTAGTTGTTAAACTTGGTACAAAATAATTATGTAATAATTTTAAAATATGACTTATATGAATAAAAACAATACTTTTTATTAAAGGTAAACAACATCATCTCTGAAATAATTATTAAATTCCAACCATTTATTGTGCACAATTTATCAAATTGTTGGAAAAAAATTACTCAATAATTGATCAGAATTTACCAAATAATTCAGCAAAATTCACTTAATAAAAGTGAAATTTTACTCAACTAATGTATAAAATCTTGTCAACCCATATTTTCGTATCGCGATTTAGTTGGGTTAATTTTACTCAACTTTTGATCAATTGGATTACTCAACCCCTGAGTGAAATTTTTACACAACAGTTGTGTCATCTCATTTCGGCCTCAACAGTTGGGTAAAATGTGATCAAACTTGGGTAAATTTTAATCAAATTTATTTAGCGTGAATTTATCGTTAATTTGGACAAATAATCACTCTAATTAATTAGCAGTGATGGTGGAGGTGCTGATAGTAATGGTGACAGTGTTAGTGGTGATAGTATTAATTCTGAAGGTAAGTAATTAACTAATTTTTAGAGTTATCATAATTTTTATTTAATGCAGTATGCTATATGGGGTGTCATTTCTGACTGTTTTTTAACCTTGAACACAATTATTAAACAAATTATTAAGGATTTTAATAATTTGATAGCATGGCTTTTTGTGAAGATGAATAAAATAATGGCGGAACATTTCGAAAAGTCGCCTTGTGACGAGGAAACAATGGATAAGTTTGGGTATAACTTAACGGAGCTAAATATTGATAAAATTCTTCCCAATATTAAACGGAGATTGGTTGTACAAACCAGTCTGGATGGTTTCTAGTCTCATCTTATTTTATAAATGCATTATTCTATTCCAGGTATTCATTATATCGAAATCCATTCAAAATACAGGATACGCACAGATTTATTAAGTTGCAAATCATGCAAATTCAGAATATAAGTAAATAGGGCATCCATATATTGTCTTAAAAAATGAACAATTATAAACTTTAGGTTATTACTTTGTTTAAATGTTTATTATTAAAAAAGGATGATATGGCTTCGTAATTTACCTAAATTTAAATTATCAAACCATGTGTAACCAACTATAAAAATACTTAAAAATACTTGCGGTAATGTAATAGCTATACCTAGGATTTGACAAAATTATTGATCCTGATTTTATAATGTGCGAATAAGTTGCTAAATTAAATTTCCGTTACAAATTGGCTTAATTATTTATAAGTACCTAGTTCTGTTCAAAATAGTCTGCTGCATAATTATTTCATCAACAACCCGAATAATAAGATTTTATTCAGGTTCCAGATAAAAAGGATCATACTGTTCGCAATATTTTTATTAAATGTGCAAAGTTATTTAAATATTTTAAGTATGTTTCTTAAATGTCTAGCATATGTATGTACATACAACAAATTTTTGTTAGACTTATGAGCTTTTAAATATTTAAAAGGCAAAATAAAAAGTGCACCACGTCATAAGTTATGTAGTAGATATTACCTTCATTCTGATTAAAAAATTGTTGAGCAGAAATTTCACAAGTAATTGACAATGCCTATTGTTCCATTAATTGCAAAACTGAGGAGGACAAGCTGTTATGGAACCTAAATAGTCAACTGGCACTTTTGCATGAGACGCGTACACACACATAACTGCAAAAGAAAGAGTACATAAACAGGTCTTAAATGTCTCGATATTACTGGGCAATCATGGCTTTGGTGGGGTTACTTTTCGCCACAATTGTTTCAGCGGAGGAATCTTCATTGGGTAAGATTTTCGTGAATATAAATTTACAAATACATTTACATATTTGGATTATTATTTTAATAATTTTGGAATACCTTACAAGATAAGAATGATAATGTAACAGACAAGATTTGGGTGACGGATCATTACTGATAAACAAATATGCAAAAAAATATATGCAAAAATCTTTATATTCCAAGGTTGTTGAAATAATACGTGAAAAGTGGAAAATATTCGACCAAAATATTGACCAGTCAGCATTTTAAGTATGTTGCGTATTTAATGAAAAATCAATTTTATAAAATCAACTCTCTCTGAAGTTCAAATATGCAAATCAGATCTTCACTAGCTACATGTATAAATAGATTTACGTAAACATTCTCCAATACACAGAGCACAAGATCGTAAATATTTTACATGAGGTAAAAATAATCAAATTAATTAAGTTAAGTTACCTATTTGTTTCTACAGGAAACGAAGCGAATCGAGGGTTTGAACAGGATATTGGAGAGGGACATCCACTCACCCGTTTTCGACGACACCGGGGCTGTTGCTGCGACGCGTTATGCCGACACTGGCACTGCACCTGCTACAAATAGCACCTGGCTACATTTACATATCTTCTTCATAAGCCGAAACTAAAGTTTTTCATGTCTGCCTTAAAGGGTTTATTTTGCAATGAATAATACCTATAGTCTGGATTGTACACACATATATCGAATAAAAAGTATTAACCAAATGTAGCATTAGGGTGAAAAAAGTATGTAAGTAATTCCACAAACAAATTATTTGAGCACATCCCCCGACCTCGAGGCTGGGGGGTAGGGTAAGATTGACTCACAAAGTAGATAGATTCCACTGGGGTCATACGTATGATAGCGCAAAACTAACTCGATTAAATCGGCCAGTTTTCCCGCTATTCTGCTGACAGACAGTCAGGCGGACGGACAGACGGACAAAGTCATAGCTTAATAGGGGTTCACGCTATAATAAATACATATTTTGGGTTTGAAATCAATAAAGTTTCTTTTAGGCAAGGCCGCAGGAGAATTGTGGTAAAATCGATTAAAAGTATTTATATTTTCGGCGATAACGATTTTATCAAAATACTTGTAATATTGATTTTATTTGCCAATAGTTTTTGGTAGACGAGGTCTGAGGTCTAATTCAATATAGAAATATATCTTTGGTAATTATCTAATTTCCGGCGATAACAAACTTTAGATGTTCGATCGAATTAAGGGTCGTCCTTTTTCATGTAAGAATGTCAAAGTCGAGGGGAAAACCGAATTAAATATGGCGAAATTTAGGCATCATGATGATTTTATTGAGCTAATTTTATTTCCAGGGAGAAATATACAACTAAACAATATGCCTTGTCGAAAAATATGTAAGCTTGTT